CAAGCATTGCACCATGAGAAGTTTGTCAAAAGGAGACGATCTTGCCATAACGCAAATCTTCTCCACCTTCTCCATCCTCTCTTCTGGTGTATAGTATTGAGATGCAAAGCTCTTGATTCTGAAGGTATGTTTCTTATTCATACAACTTGCACAATATATACAAGTCTCTGCAATTAGAATCCAAATACAAAAAGGAAACTGAATATATAGATGTGATACAGTAGTAATGACAAACTGATTCAGTAAATCTAAGATTTGATTTGCTTTGAATTATTGTCCTTGATACGCCCCGCAAGACGGAGGTGCCGTTGGCAACACCGATCTTGGATCGAAGAGTGGAGAACCTAGCTGTTGAGAGAGATTTGGTGAGACCATCGGCCAGTTGATCATGAGAGGAGATATGGGAGACATGCAAAAGCCGTTTATCAACCAAGTCTCGCACGAAATGAAGATCAATGGCAATGTGCTTCATGCGAGAGTGCATGACGGGATTCAAGCTCAGGTAGGTAGCACCCACATTATCACAGAAAATGGCAGGGGAAGCCGGAGGAGAAACACCCAATTCGGAGAGCAAGTGACTGATCCAGATCACTTCAGAAGCAGTAGCTGCGAGCGCCCTGTACTCAGCCTCGGTAGAACTTCTAGCAACTGCTTTCTGTTTGGCAGCGCGCCAGGAAATGGGATTGGAACCCAGAAAAACCAAATAGCCAGTGGTGCTGACAAATGAGCTGCGATCACCGGCCCAGTCGGCGTCCGAAAAAGCATGGAGAGACAATGAGGGTTGAGGGCGGAGCAGAAGCCCATGGAAGCATGTACCCCGCAGATAACGCAACACCCGCTTAGCAGCCTGCCAATGGACAGTGGTAGGTTGATGCATGAACTAAGACAGCCGGTTGACAGCGAAAGAAAGATCAGGACGCGTCATGGCCAGATATTGCAAGGAACCCAGAAGCTGCCGATATTCAGACCCATCGAGTAGAGGATCGCCAGAGTGAAGGTGAAGAGTGCATGTAGAGGTGAGAGGGGTGGAGACAGGCTTGGCATCCTGCATGTGAAAACGATGTAAGAGATCAGAAATATACCGATGCTGTGACAGGAACAGACCACCACTGGTGGGAATCGCCTCGACGCCAAGAAAAAAATTGAGGTGGCCCAAATCCTTAATGGAAAACCGATCCCCCATGACACGAACCAGGGAATGAATGGCAGTAGAGTCACTACCAGTAATGATAATATCATCTACGTACACCAGAAAATAGATCCAGGTAGATGCTTTGTGATAAATAAAAAGCGAAGTATCCGATTGGGAGTGTGTAAAGCCCTGCGACAAGATGAAGTCCTTAAGCTCTTGAAACCAAGCCCGAGGAGCTTGTTTAAGGCCATAAATGGATTTCCGGAGCCGACATACATGATCAGGAAAATTATGATCCACAAACCCAGCCGGTTGTTTCATGAATAATTGTTCTTCAAGATGACCATGCAAAAATGCATTATTAACATCCAACTGTCGAATGGCCCAATTCCGACTAACAGCTATGGATAAAACAGTGTGAATAGTAGTGGGTTTAATGACAGGACTAAAGGTATTAAAATAATCAGAACCTGGGCGTTGATGAAAGCCTTTAGCCACAAGGCGAGCTTTATGGCGCTCAATGGTACCATCTTTAGTCCTCTTTAAACGAAATACCCACTTGCAACCAATCAAATGCTGTGTAGGGGCAAGTGGAACCAGTTCCCACGTACCTTGCCGAACCAGAGCACTAAATTCATCAGACATGGCCTATCGCCAACTGGGATCTTTAAGGGCTTGAGTCACACATGTGGGTTCACTAGCCACAATGGGAGAGGTGGTTAAGGCTTGATGTAACACTTTAGGTTTAAAGATATTGTTGAGGGAGCGAGTGGTCATGGGATGGGTCCGGGTAGGATGGTTGAGGATAGGAAGATCGGGCCTTGGTGGAGGAGATGGTTGCATGTCACGGCTTATGGAAGATGGGGAGGCGGTATGGGATGAAGTGGCAGGAGAGGTGGCCGAAGGATGGTGAGCTGGGGATGAGGAGTGGGAGGGCCCATGTGCTAAAGTGGGAGAAGATGTGGGGCATGTAGGGTGAAGGACGGACGGTTGAAGGGGAGGAGGAGCATTCGGGATAGCAGGTGCAGAGGGAATAGATGGGGCGGTAGGGACATTGGGCAACGGAGAGGACACTACTTGGACCATCTGCTCATGAGGTGCACCGGGGAGAGAGAACAATGGCATGTCACGGGAGGGGTCCAAAAAGGCAGAAACCGGAGGGGAGGATTGGACAGATTTATTGTGAAAGGGAAAAATATTTTCATGAAATACCACATGCCGAGAATGAAAAATTTTATTGGAACCCAAATCAAGACATTTGTACCCAAGGGTGGTGGTGGAGTACCCCAAAAACAAACATGGACGAGATCGAAATTGAAGTTTGTGAGAATTATATGGCCGAAGCCAAGGATAACACAAACACCCGAATACCCGAAGTTTAAGATAGTTTGGACGAATTTTAAACAATTTTTCAAAGGGTGAAATTTTGGATAAAGAAGAAGATGGGAGGCGGTTGATGAGATAAACCGAGGTTTGGAAGGCATGGGACCAGAACTTAATAGGGAGTGAGCTGGAGTGGAGAAGTGTGAGACCAATCTCAACTATGTGTCGGTTCCGACGCTCACTGATACCATTAAGTTCTGGCGTATATGGAGGAGTTATAAAATGAGAAATACCGTGTTGAGCTAAAAATGAACGAAGAGCAATATATTCGCCCCCGCCATCAGAATGAAAATTTTTAATTTTTCGTCCAAACTGAGTTTCAACTAGGGATTTAAATTTGGGAAATATGTGTGAAACATCAGATTTGTGTTTAAGGGGATAGATCCAAGTATAACGGCTAAAAAAATCAATAAATAGAACAAAATAATTAAAACCATCAACAGAAGAAAGTGGGGCTGGCCCTCAGACGTCAGAAAATATGTGGTCAAGTGGAAAATGATTGATGATGGAACCATTTGAAAAAGGAAGTTTATGACTCTTAAAGCATTCACATGAATCACATAAAGAAAAAATTATTTTATTGGATAATGGTAAATGAAAAATATTAATAATTTGTTTTAGGGTCTTCGTTGAAGGATGACCTAAGCGTGAATGCCAATTCGCCATAGTTGTTCTCACTCCCACTAGTGCTTGTGGTCTCGGATTAATTTTTCCGGGAATTTGGTAGATCCCATGAATGTTGGGTCCTTTTAGTAGTGTCTCCCTCGTGCATGTGTCCTTCACCAAAAAGAAATTAGAATGAAATTCCACATAAACATTGGCAGTTTTGCATAATTGAGAAACGGAAATTAAGTTTCGTGAAGCAGAGGGAACACAAAGAACATTGCGTAAAGGTAAAGAAGAAGTGGGAGTGGATAGCGTGGAGTGCCCCACATGGGTGATTTTCAAACCTGTACCATCGCCAATTTGCAGTTCATCAGGTCCATTGTATTCAGAATGAAGTGCTAAGTTGGTCAAGTCAGTAGTAACATGATTATTGGCCCCAGAATCCAAGAGACAGTCATCAGAGAAGGCGACCAAGGAAGAGGCAATATTTGCCATTGGACTGACGGCTTGCACACGATAATTTGGACAATTTTTAGCAAAGTGCCCAGTGTGGCCACAGAGCTGACACGCGAAATTACCAGGTCTGTTATTGAATCTGGGTCCAAAGCCACGCTTCCGATTCCCATAGGTCCTGTTGGTGGAGTTTTGGACACCCCTGTTGCCACGGTTTGGTGGCTGCAAAAAAACAGAGTTCCTATTTTGTGAGGCGCCGGTACCCATAAAAGAGGAAGAATGCATACCAGAGCGAGGTGCCATCGGGGCAGCAGCAAAGTGAGCAGTTGCTGGAGTTAAATCAACTCGATTGTCTTCCCTATGAAGCCTCTCTTCATGAGCAACAAGTCGGTCATGCAAATCATCAAAGGAAAGAGATGAATCGCGAGCTCGGAGAGACGCAGCAATTTCTCTAAATTCTGATCCCAACCCGTTGAGGATGTATACCGTGAGATCATCGTCGGTTAATGGTTGATCCACGATTCCAAGTTCATCGGCAACTGTTTTCAGGTCTCGTAGATATTCCGAGACGGAGCGCCCAGCACGCTTCATGTTTTGAAGTCGCTCCTTCAATGTGATTACCCGAGTGCGGGAACGATTAGCATAGAGTTTGGCCAAGGTTTCCCACGCCTGTTGGGCTGTAGCAGCAGCAGCAATGTATGGGGTAATATTCTCCGAGACGGATGTGATGAGGGCATGGCGCAGAAGTTGATCTTGGCGTGCCCATAAGCTGTATTCAGGTGCTGTTGCAACTGGACAGGGATGTCTGCCATCAAGATAGCCATCAAGTTCATAACCTGCAAGCAAAGAGGTAAATTGAGCCTTCCAAGATAAATAATTTGTGGGAGTTAGTTTCACCGGAAACGCGGCTGAGTTGAAGGAAAGTGGGCCGTTGGTTAGGCCTGAGTTGAGGACAGTGACAGCAGCAGTTGTGGAGGTTTTTGAGGCAGCAGAGTTTGGGGAATTATTAGGAGTGGCCATGATCGAGCTCGTGAGAGGGATGATGGCTCTGATACCACTAATGAGATGCAAAGCTCTTGATTCTGAAGGTATGTTTCTTATTCATACAACTTGCACAATATATACAAGTCTTTGCAATTAGAATCCAAATACAAAAAGGAAACTGAATATATAGAT